GAAGTCATTTGTAGAAGCGTCTATCTATGTACAGAACAACTGTGACTCAATTCTTATAATTGGATAAGAAGGGATTCTTGGGAGAGCTTTAAATGTTGAAAATCGCACAGCTTGACGTGAAAATAATGATTTGAAAGAAGAATTATTTGAGGGGAGGGTTCAAGGGGCGGAGGAGAATTCACAGAGAATATAAGAGATTGATTATTATGATGCTTTAGATAATAATATATAATTGCTCCTCTGTATTTATAATCATTATTCATGAATATAAATAGTAGACGTTGATTCTACTTTTAGCATGTAAGTCAATAATTGTCATAATATGTCACATATTTATGCTTTATCAACACTTTTCAGATTGCTGACACCACATCACAGGGTGCTTAAGTAAGCACAAGAAAAAGTGGTGTTTTTTGAAACGTGATTGTTTTGAAAACAAGGTAAGGGAGAATAAAAGAAGCGTTGGCATAATGCTTCTTCCCTTCACCCACGGCTGTCGTAGATTGAACATCATTCAGAGAGAAGATTACCGTCCCTTAAAAATACTAATCCTCTCTTTTTCATGGACCTGGATCCTGTCACTGTCGGATCCTTTAATTGGACTCCTCCACCTGCTTATACTCGGACAAATAATGCTTTTATTTTGTTTCCTCATATCTGTCGATAAATAGATCAGTACTGTGACTATCGGATGTGCAAAAAGAAAGAAAAGGGTACTCAAATGAAAAAAAGTCATGTTTATGTGTTGAGTTTGCAAGAACAAACCAAATTGTTATCCATTTTGCCTTCAAAGATATTTGCAATATATGCTTTGTTCAAGACAAAATGGGATTTACTAATTTGTTGATGTATTTTGTGTACAGTGACGTCAGAAATGTCGTTTTAAAGTTTATTTTGAAAAAGTCAGTATCAACTAAATATTCAATGACTAGTCTTATCCTTGATCTTATTTACCTGAATAATGCCTAGAGATGAGAGTGATGTCAACCACTCTCAACTTTATTGATAAATTTATGAAGTCGTACTCTCTCTTAAGCTTTTGCTGTTTCCCCCATCAACGGAGATCAAACAAATACTCTGATATTCAACGCTACCATAATACATATCGGCACTCTATGTTCCCTGTGAAATTACTTAAGAAATAACTTCTTTTATGATGTCTAAATACCCAGCCTTAAGGAATACAAGCAGAAAAAGGCAATGAAGATCCAATAACCACTTTGAAGGAACTGATTTTAATATGAAAAGTCACATGCGAAGACATCACTGAAATTATTCGTGTGATTTCTTCTTTTAAGATGTTTAAATACCCAGCGTTAATGAATACAAAACGGAAAAAATGACAATGAGAACCATGACTACTTTTTAAGGAACTGAATTTAATATAAAAAATCACATGCAATGACATCACTATAATAATTCGTGTGATTTTTTTTCCATTCCATACTATTGTCAAGTTTGAAAATCCGGGCAGCGCCGAGTAACATCCACTAATATATTATATATATATATATATATATTTTATATAATAATAATAATCATTATTATTTGTTTTAGCCCTCTAAAGGTCCTTGAAACTGCTATTTGGACTTTTATGCATTTTTCTGTTGGTGTGGATTCTTGAAGTTTTTTTAAAGGTGAATTTACCATTTCAATCCTTCTTTGATCCTTGAATTTGCAATATATAAGTCTTTTAGGTAGTTGGAAAGCCCACTTGTTTTAAAAAGTACTTAGAGGCCTTATTTCATTTAAATATTAATTTTGCATAAGTGGGAAGGCGTTTATGTTCTCGATGAAACACGTTCTTACTCTGTCTAATTTTTTTGTCTGTTTGAGGGTAGGATCCCAAAGTACGAATTAACAATCTTAGCCCATAATACCCTAGAACACACAACCCCTTTAACCATGTGTGTACTCATCTTCCTCGGAAGCCTAAGAGGTAATGTTACCAGTTTAAATAACTGCTGGAATCTGGTTAGGCTCTGAGGATGTTTGTTAAAGCATTTTTATTAAAGGGTGCAGGTTAGAATCCCGAGAGGAAAATTTAATTTTGGAGCACCTGATTGATACGATTCTAGGTTCGAAAGAGTAATTTTAATGCAATATCTATATACACATGGATGCATCCTATCGAATAGGCAAAAAAATCATATTCAGCCAACAAGTGCCGACAAAACGACACTCACGAATGAAGATCTACTCGAACATGACTGGTGATACCTAAGAAAGTTAGGATAAGTCTGTAATTAATGCATAAATATTCACGATGAATATTAATCGATCGTTTTGATGCATAAAGGTTGCTTTTGAAAGCCAGGGTTAGTTGTTCACAAGAGCTTAGTTGTGTCCATCGGAAGGTCCATTTTTGTATTTATTTATCCTGATTCCCCTCTTTTTTTTCTTTCTATTATTGACAATCATTTCGTAATTCAGCTCAAATATATAATTACATATCCCTAGATAGAGGTAACATTATGACTATTCTCATAACTCATTAATAAACATTAAGTTCAGTTGGTAATTCAATTCTACATCAATTCCTCAGATTGATCTGAGGAATTGCTTTATTTAACTACAAACTATATACTTTGGAGAATCCCATTCATAGGATTCGCAAATTATATGGATCGAATTTTTGTATATCTAATAGCGCGATAATCTATTTATTGACAGGCATGATAATTGATGTTTGCACCTCAACAGCTACAGAAATTGAGGCTTTATTTTATAATGTCAACGTTTTTTTTAAATAATTCACTCTTCTTTTCTTCAACCAATCATGATCAAGAAAAATCACCGTTTGTTATCTCTATTTATAACTTAATATCCACAAAATTAGAAAATTATATCTTTCATACCGAGAAGAGCATAACATAATTTATTTTGTATTTATAAGCGTTTAAAGTTATTCAAATACTGATGATTAATATAACTCCAGTCTCAAGAATTATGAACTAAGTTTTTACAAATTTATTTTAAATTTGTGATTGTTCTATTAGCTTTGATCCCCTCATTTCCTTTTTTATCTATGCTTCAAGTACCGTGCTAGCCTTGTAGGGTTTTATGGTACAGCTTTCCGTACCGCCTCACTTTCACACCTCCTTACAAAAAATACTAAATACACATAATTTATTTGAAAGGCAAACAATTGACATTTTCTTGAGGATATTCCTTTTACTTTTTTTTACCCATGCTTGAGTTCATCAATGATAATTCATTCAAAAAATCTAGGCTGAGCTATTGAATGAATGAAAGGAATCTGTTAGGCAAAGTCAAAATAAGAAGACGCTAGAGGCAGAGGAAAGTAAGACATGCCCTACTTCAAAAGCCACCCACTCACTCAAATTTCGTAGAAAAAAATAAACATTTTGATTATTTCATGTTATGTTTTTTTATATATTTCTTTTACGAAATGTATGACAAAACGTGGGCTTAAGAACTATCTAGATGGACGCTTTTTCTACTATCTGGTGAAACTTTTACATATAATTAATAATATATGGACAGATAGCAATCGTACTCAACAAATATACGTAATCATGGAAAAAGGATTTTGAAAACACAATTATACTTATTGAGTGTACAAAAACCCACTGTTTATTGTCTAATGATATTTCACAAGCCTATTTGATTCAAAAAATCACACGGAGTCAGAGTTATGAAATATTGGGTTACATATTTATTTCCGAACCCACCGATAATGAAACCCTCAGGTTTCACCATCCACAGTTATGGTACATATTTGGGCTTCAAAACAAGCGTCACAGAGCCCTCGGATGGTACGTGCGCCAATTATGTTTAATGACTTATAAAATAAGGCCTTCTCTCTACACACACACACACACCACATAT